AATGAGTGGAGGTTCAATCTGAGCTTCTTTTGAGTGTGAATGCTGTTTTTGAATAGCTGGAGGGTTAGTGTCGTACCTTACTATGTGACTACTCACCCGCCAGCTATTCAAAAACAGCATTCACACTCAAAAGAAGCTCAGATTGAACCTCCACTCATTGAGTGTGAGTGAGCTTTTAGAATACGGGCGTAAATCTCCAAATAGAAGCTGCTGTTACGTTTAGTGCTCAACATGGTGTCATGCTGAATCGGAGTTTGCTAAGTACCACAGGAAGAGAGTGGCACCACGCAGAATTGATGATACGCCTGAAAACACTGTTCATTTTGAGTTGCAAACGTTTTACAGAAGAGAGTTCCTGCAAGTGCTTGACGCCCAAATACTATTGCTTGAAGATAACTTGAAAGTGGCCTTTAAGATCATATAGAGCCCGCTGTTTCCTTGCTAAAGCCACCGTATACAACGAAAGTAAATTATTTCCAGAGATGTGTTGTCGCTGATTGACTTGTTTCCAGCCAATGCCAAACCGGACGAAGCTTCACTTGAAGTGGAATTACAAGTTTTTCGGCATCATTGTTTGGCGTCAAAACAAGGCATTGCTACCATTAACGATGCTTTGAATTATTGTTCGAAATTCAAAGAACTGTTTCCACTCACATTGCGGTGCTAATTGAAACTTGTTCTCACAGCTCCTGTAACGATGGGCTTCAAGCGAGCGAAGCTTCTCAAAGCTCAAATTAATCAAAACTCTTATCCTCAGCTGCCTCGTCCCCAGGCGCTATTAAAATTTCATGAGAGTCACTATATGAAAGGCTTGCATGAAGCAGTGCGTCACATTATAGGCGCGCAAAGGGGAGTGGGATATGAGCGTTTCGATGCCTCAAGCCCATAACTCCCTGCGATTGTTCGTCGTGACGCACTACTTCATGTAAACCTTTCATATAGTGACTCGCATGAAATTTTTTTATTAGCGCCTGGGGACGAGGCAGTCAGCTAAGGATATTGTTGTTGTAGTTGTTGCATGTATTAAAATAACCAGAATTGAAAAATGACCGCGTTACTATTTATTCTATAAGATCGTAATAATATGTAGTTTGCACGAACCGCGAAGTCGGTCCCTGGTGAAAAAAATCGGTCCTTTGTGCGCACATCCCCTGAAAAAAAATTGCATTTGCGCCCCTGGTCAACGTACCCGTTCTACAAATCCTGACTGCCTACAATTTCAGACTTCAGCATGTAAAACATCTACCTATCAAAAATCCTATCTAATAAGGACTACTAGAGTCTGGAACACACTGCCAAGGGATTTAGTTCATACTATCAATGGCATGGCAACCTTAAAGGAGTTTAAAAATAAGTTATATATCTATTATAAAACAGCATTAGACAAATGTTATGACGTTGACGATCCACGAACATGGAAAACGGTTTGCTTAAAATGCGATTAATCAAGCTCGCGACCTTACAAGGCCGATAACGTGTTGTTTTTAGATTTTAGTAGTTTTCAGAAGTAGCTTATCGCATTGGTATCTATGGGGCTATCCAGGGTTTTGCTAAAGGTTTAGGATTGTGAGGGTTAAACGTCTTCTGATTCAGTCAGCTTCCGAAATTAGAAGTGGTCCTGCGGGTCGCAATGTGAAAAGTTGAATCTGATAGTTCATTAGTAATTGATTTTTTCTATGTACGTATATAGTGTATTTGTCTAAGAAAGTTCTGCAAAGCAAACCGCCATTGTTTACAAAAATTGAAAGCAATGCGCATGCTCAGACTATTATTTGTAGCTGAGCAACGTTTTTAACAAATGCGCATGCTCAGACTATTATTTGCACGCAGTTATTTGCAAGTAAATTGACCAATCAAAATTGAGAATACTATAAAGTGAACGATAATTGTCACTTATTTACTGAGACCGAGGGAAATGTACTTAAATGGGCTTCGTACAACGCAATTGTATCGGCCGTTTAACTATCCGCCGGATAGGAAAGTTATACGTATATAGATATAAATATAAATATATACACTCGTGAGAAGATAAATACACCTATACCTTTACATACAGCATTCGCTGGATTAATAGCTGGCCCCAGGAATGGAAGAAAGAAATTCTGATATGTCATTGACATCACAAATAAGTAACATCGTTCCCAACTTGACCTTATTACTCAGACAAAAGGTAGACCGTTGTTCTAGAAATGCGAAGGTTCGAATCGGTAGTGCCTACAAGCTATTATCATGCTGTCTACAAGCTATTATCCCTATATAAACACAAACTATATCTCTTTGCATGATCCGCCCGTACAAAAAATCCCATGTTTTATAGTACTGTTATTGAAATCTTGGGTATTAGTTGCCTATTTTTCTTTTCCTCTTTTTTTATAGTTGTTGATGACTGGGATAGGGTTGACGTAAAATGGCGAGAGTCGATTCAAATGGAAAGAAGAAAACCCGAGGTCACTAACGAGGTTCTTCCATCAAAATCAAAATGTTCGTATATATACCAAATTTTAAACTTGAATTATCTGCTGAAAATTTGACCACTCGGTCTTATATATAGTCAACAATATTTTAGAGCTTGCACATATTTTTTCATTTAAAGGGCATAAAAAGGCATCTGCACCTGGTAGAATAACTGAATTCTTTCGTAAGTACGTGTATTTGACTTTTACATTACGTTTCCCTATAACTGAATATATATGCATAGTTTTGCAAGGAAAATTATTCGAAAAATGTTGACGAGATCTAAATTTGTAAAAATATTTTACTGAAGTTCTAACTTTTTCAATTATACTATATAAACTTTTCTTTTCTTATCTACAATATGGCATTACGAGCTGGGGCAATACGTATAAAAGAAGATGAACCAAAATTAAAACTAAACAGAATACATGCTTACGCTGTATTTTCTTTGCTCCACCGGCCTAAAGAAAGTAGTATTCCTTATTATAATATTACAGGGATACTCACCTTTGAAAATATTTTTAAACTCAAATTACCTATTTTTGCACATAAAATATCTATAATGATCAAACTGATAGACCTGAGGCCTTTAATCATTTCCTTGTAAGAGCGTCTGATGTCCATGGTTACAACACACGGTTTGCAGCTAATTCAAATTTCTATAGACCAATAGTCAAAACTAATTATGGTAATCATGTTCTAAAATTTACAATTTCCAAGATATACGAGGAGATTCCTGCCTGTATTAAGTTTCTGGATCATAACCAGTTCAAAAAGCAATACAAAAAATTTCTTCTACAATCCCAAAACTATAGGGCATGCCTATATGCATGCTAATAGAATTCATAAAAGAATACTAATCGACGGTCTCGGGTCCACAAAAGGCACTGCTTCCCTCGGTCTCAGTAAATAAGTGATAATTATGTCATCTACTGTAACTACTGCAATTATGTAACAAGAAGTATGAATAAATGAATCTTGAATCTTGAAGGTGCTTAAGTCAGTAATTCACCAGTGTAGCTGAAAAATATCATTTTATCATGAGCTCAGAATAACTTTTGTTATAGACTTTAATATAGTATAGGATCATACTTGTTTACTATTTCAAATGCCATACAGTCCGGCTACTCTACTTGCTATCTATAATCATTTTCCTGCATGGCCGCCGATGTAAAAAAATAGCTTCCGGCTCGTGTTTTTCTGTGGTTTCTGAATTCTGAGAACGAACTTGATTTTTTACTTGAGATTCTATTAATACAATTAGATTACTCGCACTGGATTTCTATGAGGTGATAGTTGATCCGGGATTGGCCCTCATCAACTATATCACCTCATATAGAAATCGAGAGCAAGAAATCTTAATTCTAACTATAATATATAGCATCAATACTTCCAACTATTCGTACTATAATGTAGCTTTGTCGTTATAATTATACATGTAGTATTTCCGCTATATATGGCAAGTTTCTTGTTATAATTAGTCAATCCAAAATCGGTTACACAAATTAAGCCGTAAAACTGCATGTTCATACCATTGGCATTGAAAAACAATATTAATTCTCCTTTAATTTAGGATAGATCTAGAATATTTAAACTTTGACATCCTTTTCCATCTGTGATGATATCGAATTACATGATTGATTTTATGCCTTTGAGCTGATTCATTTTCCCATACTGCAGATCTATGTTTATATGGTTTAATATTGTAGGCCACATAAACTTTTTGGCAATAAAGAAAAAGTGGAGTGTGACCAGGTAAATCATGAAAAAGATGACTATGACGAGTGGAACGATGGTTTATCTGAAAGTGAAGACGATGTCGACGTTCCTTGTCATGCCGTAAGTCAAAAGTTTTCAAATAATATAGTTTTATTGCCAACGTGATAGGCCATAAGTTGTCGAAAGAAGTATTGAATTCTAGATTAGCTCATTACATGCAGTCCTTATGCGGGTTGAGATCGAATTTATTGTTGCTTGAAACTTTAATCAAAGAAAAGCAAATTCCAATATTGCCTTTTGACATATTTTAGCCGGTAAACTTGCACGATTGTCTGATTGAATTAATTCCCTAGACCGAGCACAATTTGACGTTCAGTTTTTGAAATATATATAAGAAAATTGGTAAGAAAACCAACCTATTATATGAATACCTTTGTCATTGGCTTTCTGAAACAAAAGTGATCATGTAGTGTTTATTATTAGTTCTTTAGAAGTTCGATTTCAACAGTTATAATATTAGTCTTTTATTCAGTGCCGTAGGAAGGGCGGGCTCTGCCCCTCCGTCCAATGGGCAGAAGGACTGCCCTTGTGAAAAGCTAAAATCGAGGCAGAAATTGGGGGGGGGGGCGATGTGTCAATAATGATACCCATCTGTTTTGTTTACCGATAAAAGTTGTAGTCTTCCCTATATCTAGAATCCTAACTACAGTAAAAATGTAATATGGTTGTTGAAAGCACAATTGAACTTGAATTTGCGCGCATAGCAGCAGTCATAACGGCCAAGTGAGCTTCATTCTTTTTACTACAAAAACTAAGACATCGTGCTATTTTGCTGTTGTATATATCTGCGTGTACAGTACAACGTTTTACATAAAGATTTTTTCGATCTAACGACATTGGGCGACTTAATTTAAAATGGCTTTTTGTGGTTGTAACTTTTCTTCAAACCTTGTCCTAAAGGACAGGGGGAGCATGCCTTTGAGTCTCGCATTCGAAATGCCTAACCCCCCGCCCCCAAGTTTAGAACCTGCAGGCTACGCCACTGCTTTTATTGTCATATAATCAACCAATCTCAGAGCCTGTTTATGTACAAGTCTATGTATAGCCGAATTTGAAAGTTTCGGCTAAATTCTCAACTTTCGCGTACCTCTTCCCCAAACACTTGGTGATTATGTATCTCAGTTCGAAAGTTTTCATCTCAAACTCATTAAAAGTCGTGACTAAATTACTGAGCCAACCATATTACTCTATTTTGTTCAAATGATAATACTATAAAGATACGTGATCGGAAGTATATTAATTGAACTAGTGCTAGGACTCATGGATCAAAATGAATTCAGTCCTTGGACTGGATCAAAATTAAAAGTGATTTATTCCTCGCATCGTGATCCAATTGCGCGGACTTGAAATCTAGTCCAGTTCTCCTAGTTGAATTTGAAATATTACTGTACATGAAATTTTAAGCGCATTTTAAATTTAACTAATAATTATCTGACTCTTCACTTACATTCGTTAAGCAATCAAGCCTAGACAATCTAGAACATCGGTTGGCGTTCATCAGTTTCAATTGCATAATTTAACGCTAATTATCATGCAGTTATTACGACGTAAATCTCTGGAAACCAGTCTTTCCCCCTTATCAATTAGTATACTTTTTATATTTACATTAAAATCTTTTCACTGAAGATTCCGGTTGACTGTGGAGGGAAATTTATCGCCAAGACTGACAGTACAGGACAAGAGAACGAAATGGATTTCAAGAAAGGAGATGAAATGATTTTGCAAGGGGTTCGTACTGACGGTTGGTGGTATTGTTTGAACAAAGAACGAAATACGTATGGCTGGGTTCATGAAAGTTCCCTTCAAAAATGTTGAGACTCAGCTGGTTTTAATGAATTTCTCCATACGGTTTATAAAGACATTAAAATTAATTAAGTATCTTTTGTGCAAGAGTTGATGCCTTTTTCAATTTAATTAATAATTTAATATTGATTAATACAGTCGGTCCATGCAAGCAAACACAAATGACTCCTTTCATTATATACATGCAATTAAAAACATTAATTACAAATAAAATAACGCTTTTCCTACCTTTATAATTGTAGCTAATAATCCTTATAATATTATATGTATAGTATTTTGCCTGCATGCGGCAGTTTCCAATACAAAGAGGCAGTTCATGTTTTGAAAGTGTAATAGAATTAAATTCTCCTTTCGTTCAGTGTTTATCAAATATTTCTTATAATGATTAAATTAAAGAAACTTTTATGATGTCGACAGATGTCCACTGCCATTGCTCATATATCAAGCAACGAAACTATTTTCGTGACTCTTTCCTCAAATTGTCAGGAAAGACCTTTGCGAATTTATTTTTGTGAACTCTCGAGAACAATATTTATATTAAGATACTCATTTAAAGAAATTGAAAAACAGTTTATATCAAAGAAAAATCTATGTAATTAGGAACTCCATTTGAAAGAAACAACTATGTGCATTTAGTCATCGGGAACATTTACTATTTATAAACCTGGGTTGACACCAAAGACAACTAAAAACATTCAAAAGTTTAATTTAATTTACCTAAATTCAATCTAAATTAGAATTCATAGACGGGAGTTTCTAAACGTTGGATTGTGAGGGTAATTTGCTCGGGAACTGCAAATCGCAGCATGTGCTATATGCATGTTTGTATCAGTTAAACTTTGGGGTTATCTATAAGAAACATTCTCATATCTTTTGGTTGCTGCAGTCTTCCGTCATCTTATTTGTGTGCAATAAATACACTGAGCCCACACCGTATTGCGACGCATTAAAGAATCACAGTCAACCGTGATGCTTTGCGCGCTAAAATGTTTTGGTTGTTTTGTATTC